CCTCTTCTAGGCGGTGAAATTGCGTTATCTGAAGCGCTTGCCCCTGAGAGTCATTGGAAGGTCTGTGGACAACTTAGCTGCGGACTGTGGCAGCTCCTTCATCACCTTACCTTGGGGGTTGATCGACCGTATAATGGGCAGAAGCACCAGAATGATCTGACTGGGGATCGTACCGGTCTAGCTGCTATGACGGGGATTAAAGCCATCGTATCGCAGTACTTTGCATGTGAGGAGTGTAGGAGGCATTTTGTCGAGGACTATGATAAGTGTCTGTACGGTCGCTGTGTGGATGGTGATTCGCCCACGAGGGAGGAGACTGTGATGTGGTTGTGGAGATTCCATAACGCCGTCAATGGTCGGGTGTTCGCCCACCGAAGTCCTGGGGGGGATGTCAGGAAGGCTCAGTGGCCGCCAGCCTCTACATGTCCACCATGCGTATCATCGGCGACAGGAGAATACTCTGGGAAGATCGTTTATCATTGGATTGTGCGAACATACCTTGGGGATATGCTCAAGGGTGAGACGCCTTTCACTATGGCAACATCACCGGTAGGTTTCGCTGGGCTGGCATACAGCGGCATCGATATGGCCGGCTCGCTATGGTGAGCTATGGAAATGTTAGTCCTTGTTGTGAGATTGGTGGTTCTAATGGATCTTACGCGAACACTGCAGTAGTGTGTCACTTGACTGTATTCTCTTCAGCTTCGGACGGTTATGCTGCTCCTGCTCTCTCTCATCGGAATCGGTGGGCTCGTCCTTTATCAACTACACCAGAAGCAGGCGGCATACAACGATCGTCTTGGTAAGAAGTACCTCAAGGAGTAGCCGAGTTATCAACGACGATGACTCATTTTGAGGAGCGCCGCCACCGCTGACGTATAGCTTCGTTGCGACCATTGTATTTTGACTGTCTTCAGTAGTGCAACCGTATGCCCTGTTTTACCATTGTATGACACTTTGTATCAGTCTCGAATACTTAGTTGTGTTAGTCAGGCAGGGAGGGGGTATTCTTGATCGCTTAGCAACGGTCATCATCAGAGGAAGTAGAGGAATTCGTGTATCGATAGAAATTCACGATTCCGCATGGGAGTAAAGAATCTCTTGCAACATCTGAAGGGATGCACAGCGATGAAGCAGAACATATCCGACTTCAAGGGGAAGCGTGTAGGGATTGATGCAATGGTAGGTGTTGGCTAGAAGAGTGTTCATGCTTTGTCGGATCGAGATTGTGGCCCTGTCCGTGGTGGTCTTCATCGACGTCGTTTAGGAAATATTCACTATCATGTTAGAATCATAGCTCACTGGTAGATACACTCGTTTTCCTTTTCTCAGTGCTGGATGCATCGTGGAGCAATTGCTTGTTGTTTTGAACTGGTGTCTGGGCGTGAAAGCGATAAGTTCCTCACGTTCTTCCTGCGTATGATTGCCCTATTGCAAGGCTATGAGTGAGACTAAGAGTTTCATTTCCATTTTTGTAAATAATCACTCGGGACTTTGGATCTCAGCGTTACTCCAGTGGTAGTCTTCGATGGATGCCGTATGCCAGGCAAAGCCGAGGAAGAGAAGAAGAGAGGT